TTTGCAGCAAAGTGGAAAGAGCATGATATTAAAGGATGGGGTGGGTTCATTTTAAAGGAGAAAATGAAGAGAACAAAGGAATTTCTGCGAGAGTGGTCAAAGGCATCCCTCCAAGAAGTGGATAGGAAGATTGATGAAGCCAAGGAGATGATAAATAGGATATATGGCAAAGGGAATAATGACATCTTAACAGATGAAGATATTCTACTCAGAAAATGCCAACACACTGAGTTGTTAAAAAACATGCAAATGAAAGAAGAGATGGCTCAGCAGAAAGCACGAAAAATGTGGTTGAAAACAGGAGACGCTAACACCAGATACTTCCACAATTCTATTAAGGGGAGATGGCGTAGGAATGAAATAAATGAAATATCCATAGGAGGCAAGGTAGTGAAGCAAGTGGAAGATATTAAAGAAGGTATCATGAAGTACTATGCAAGCTTGTTTACTGATGAAGGATGGAAGAGGCCAACTTTACAAGGGGTGAACTTCAAGTCAATATCAGAGGCAGACAGATGTATGCTCACACAACCGTTCACTGAAGATGAAGTGAAATTGGCAGTCTGGAATTGTGACAACTCCAAAGCACCAGGCCCAGATGGGTTTAGCTTCGGTTTGTTAAAGAATGAATGGGAGGTGATAAAAGCAGATGTCATGAAGTTCCTCACAGATTTCCATAAAAATGGCAGATTGGTAAGGGGATCAAATGCCTCATTTCTCGTCTTAATACCAAAGACAGAAAATCCCCAAGGCATAGAGGAGTATAGACCTATCTCTCTAATTGGATGCACCTACAAAATTATGGCCAAATTGTTAGCAAATAGACTTAGCAAGGTACTGTCCACAATCATCAGAGAGACACAATCAGCATTTATTGAGGGAAGACAGCTACTTGATGGAGTGATGGTTGCGAATGAAGCAATTGAAGGGATGAGGAGGAAAAAATCTAAGGGCTTTATCTTCAAAATTGACTTTGAAAAAGCATATGACAATGTCAGTTGGTCTTTTCTTGATTACATGATGGACAGAATGGGCTTCGATAAAATCTGGAAAGGATGGATATCAGGATGCTTAAAAACTAGCACAGTGTCTGTTCTAATTAATGGAAGCGCCACCAAAGAGTTTGCCATGTCAAGGGGGCTCAGGCAAGGAGACTCGCTAGCCCCGTTCCTATTTTTGATAGCGGCAGAAGCTATAAATGGACTAACTTCAGCAGCCATTGCAAAAGGCTTCCTTCAAGGAATAAGAGTCGAAGATGGAGAGTTAAGGATCAGCCACTTGCAATTCGCAGATGACACATTATTTATGGGTGAAGCAACAGAAAACAATATATGGACAGTTAAATGTATCATGAGAGCATTTGAAATGGTGTCCAGCTTGAAGGTAAATTATGGTAAGAGCTCTTTAATAGGAGTTAACACTGAAGAAGAATGGACCACAAGCATGGCATGGATGCTGAAATGCAAGATTGACTCTCTTCCCTGCAAATATCTAGGAGTGCCATTGGGGGCAAACCCGAGGAGGATAGATACTTGGAAACCCCTAATCGAAAAGTGCAGAAGAAAACTCTCATTATGGAAACATCGATTCCTATCTTTTGGAGGAAGAATCACCCTCCTAAACGCTGTGCTATCAAGTCTACCAGTGTTTCTGATGTCATTCCACCTGCTCCCCAAAATGGTAATCTATGAACTTGATAAAATTAGAAGGAATTTCTTACGGGGGGGGCATAAGGGAAGGTAGAAAGATTGCATAGGTGTCTTGGGATAGAGTTTGCTGTACAAAAAAAGAGGGAGGTTTAGGGGTAAAAAACTTAAGATTATTTAATATGGCCTTGCTTGGAAAATGGTGGGCGAGGATGATTGGAGGAGAGAAGGGTTTATGGAGTAGGGTACTAAAAGAAAAATATGGAAGGGATGAAGGGAATTGGCTAGAAAGGATGAGAGAAGAGCGAGGTATAGGATCATCTTGGTGGAAAGACATCTGCAAATTAAACACAAATTTAGGAATTAAAGAAGGATGGTTGGAATCAAATTTCAAGTTGAATTTGGGGGATGGGAAGTCCATTAAATTCTGGAAAGAGGTGTGGGTGAGGGGGGAGTCATAAGCTAACGCTTTTCCTAGACTTTTTTCACTAGCCACAGGAAAAAAATGCAGCATACAAGATATGGGCCAATGGACAGAAAGGTGCTTGAGCTGGAGATTACAGTGGAGAAGAACACTTCGAGCTTGGGAAGAGGACTCACTACAAAAATTGCTCCAGGCCATAAAGGACACAAAGCTGGTGCAAAATGCCGAGGACACATGGAGCTGGAAACTAGTAGATGGGGGTAAATACATTACAAGGTCGGCATATGAGTGGCTTGCTAACAAGGATGAAAGCAAAAAGCTCGATTATAAAAAGCTGTGGGGTGAACAGGTACCATCAAAAGTGATTGCTTTTTCATGGCAAATGCTTTTAAATAGAATCCCTACAAAGGTCAACTTGGCAACACGTGGAATTTTACATGACACTCAAAATATCATGTGTTATTGGTGCAATTCATGCCATGAATATACAGATCACCTATTTCTATCTTGCAAAGTTTCTTATAAGCTATGGACTAGATGTATAAATTGGTGGGGGCTATGTTATGTCCTCGAAAACACATGTATGCAGGTCTTCCACCAACATAGATGGCTAAAGGGCCCAAAAAATCTAAAAAAGGGATGGAACATGATGTGGTATGCCATAGTGTGGTCAACGTGGTTGAGTAGAAATGAAACCACCTTCCAACAAAAGGAACTCAATGAGGATAAGTTGTTCAAACATGTACAAACTTGCTCATTTCACTGGGTTAGAACTCTATTGAATCTAGAACACATTTCTTTTATAAATTGGATTTCTGATCTAGTGAGATGTTTAATTACTAAGAAATAGAGGACAGGTGGGAAGATAGTTCCCAATTCTTTGACTGGGGTGGCTTTTGTTTTTCTGCTTTTAGACCCTAAAGCTAGTATTTTGATGATCTTATAGATGTATATGGGTTGAGTACCCCTTGTACTCATTTAATATAATTCTTTTGCTATTCAAAAAAAAAAAAAAAAAAGTTGATTGTTGCTATAGCTAATGCACTCGATCCGTTTCTAGAATGAGTCGTGGATAACCAATGTTCCATGCCATCACCAAAGCATGCTTTACTCCCGTTGAGTTGAATTCAGTTAGCATTTCAGCCAACTTTCAAGGCTTTTGAGGGTTTAGGATTCTGGCACCGTTAAAGACATTACCAGGTGGGCACTTTGACTGAAGAATTATCTTCCATTCGGAATCAGCCGAACACGATTCCTTGCATTGTATTGCTTACCTTTTTTAATTTGACATTCATGTCCATGTTTATCTTCAAGATTTCAAGAGAAAAAAATGGAAAACAAAGAAAACGAAAGAAATTTTCAAATGGGAACAAAGTTCTACATATTCTGTTTTGTTTTGTTTTGTTTTGGTTTTCTTTTTTTTTTCATCATTATTTAAAATGTAAGGAGCTACAGTGTTACTTTTTTTTTTAAATAGCAAAAAATAATTTTTATTAAAAAACGGAGTACAACAAATACTCTAAACCCATAAACATCTCAACTTAAAAGGCATAAATTTGTGAGAGCCAAACAACTCTTCATGATGTATTAATACAAGAGCACCTCTAAGTTGTTAAAAAATTTCAACAGGAAACAGAAATTCTAATTCTGGATGCTTGCCATATGGTGATGACACCACACTCGTGTCGGGTTTCTGTCTTGTTTTGCAATTTCTTCAGTGGTAGAATAGCATATCTGGTCCTTAATATTTTGTGAAATGAGCACTTAGATCCCAAAACTCAAGATTCATTCATTTAGGTCCACAAGAAGAGATCTTCCTTCTTGCAATTTAGTCCTCAACTTTCAAAATATATTCATTTAAACCCAAACATACAACCAACTCGCACTTTCTCTTGAATTGTTGAATGACTTGGATTATTTCACCAATTTTCTAGCTAGGTTTCTTACCAGCGCTCAAATGCACATGTACCATATATCATTACTTCCATTTATTAAACTTGCTTAATTTAATTAGAAGTAGCCAAATTCTGGACAATATATAAAACAAGCAAATGTAGATTTTTTTTTAATAAACTAAAATTTATTCATAATATCAAGCCATATGACGTCTACATATATAAGAAAAACATTATCTCATTGATAAGGTCTTACAATCATACTTAATACAATATTAAACACAAATGGAGACAAGAGTAGATTAGACCAACATCATATCAATAAGGAAGAAAGGTGGTGAAATATATCACAAGATAACCTATAAAAGAGCTAGTACTATTGATCCCATGCTCTTTCAAAACCTCCTTCCTTACTGATCTTCCACCATGGTAAGCCAACCAACTAGCTAGCTAGTTCTTAAATACTAGAAAAAACTCAAAACCCATAATTTGCTTAGTGACTGTTATACTATAAAGTTGCAAACAACTAGCAATGACTCTAAGATGAAGATGAAGATGATGATGATGATGATGATGATGATGATGATGATGATGTAATGGTGTAAACATAACGGGAAGACTTTCAGCCAATCAGTGGTTAGTGACCTATTCCTCCGCTACTGGGACCGCCAGCTGTTTTAGTAGTATTCTTCATCCTATTGAATTCAGGAGAAAGAGGGTGTTTAAGAGGCCAGGAGGCCCCGATCCTGACCCCGGTTGAATGAAAAAGGATATGGAAAACGATAGTGATAAAAATACATTTCATGGCAAAAGAGATGAAGCGTGAAAGATGCTTCATTGGCTTCTTTGGTTGATTACGTAGGAGGTTGCTGTGGTTTTCTAGGGAGGCCGAGGCTCAAGTTTTTCTTAATGGAGGATGTAACCTCTGCTGGGGGTATAAATAGACTTAGAGAAGGAACATTTTGCTTTTTACTCAAGAATTAATGAAGAATATTTTGAAAAATTAACTTAGTCTATAAGAATAAAAACTTCAAGATATATTGTAGGATCCATAGCTAGTGTTTAATTATTTGAGATTAATTGAGCCAGCAATTGATTTGATTATAGAAGATTATATCATATTCTATACTCTTTTGTTTGATGTATCATATTCTATTAGCTTTTTTTCTTTAATTTAGCTAGGGTGCTCATTAATTTACTTATCTGGGTTAGTTGCAATTTGGCACGAATTAAAAAATATGCTAATTAATAACTAAAACTTCTATCAACGATCATTTGATCTAAGTGAAAAGAGTTTAACTCATTTTATGTAAAATCTCGAGTTTAAGTCTTGTGAATTGAGAAAACAAGCATTGAAAGAGCTTTTCCTTTCTTACAGAGTCTAACCCAACTCGATTCCGAATTAGTCAGAATTTAATGTAATTTTTTAATATTAGGGGATTAGTACAAAAAAAAAAAAGAAAGAAGAAGAAGAAAAACACAGACTTCTATGTATTTTTGGATAAATGCAAGATAAAACATGACAGGGCCAGGTATTCCATCCTTAATTGATATCTATCTATTAATGGAAACTGAAAAATGAGAAGACGTGTTCCTTTCATATTTATATGTGGCAAAGAATCAAATAATTAAAAAAAAAAAAGGTCTTTTTCTTTTGTTATATTTATGGAAGGGTAGATAGTGTGTATATACTCGGTTGATCAGGATGAATGGAGATCATCACTTCATAGGGAAAGCAGACATATACATAACAATATAAAGTCTAATCTTGTTTATTCTAATTCTACCATTATAAGCATTTAAATGTTATATTTTGTATATTGAATTAGAGTATTCCTTGTACTCTCTAATAATATAAAGTCTTTCTTTGTTGATTAAAAAAAAGAAGAAAAAAAAGAAGACATACATAACAAGAGTTCAAAAGTGCAAAATAAAATACGGCTAAATATTCCATTTGAAGGTCTTATATCTTTGGTCAAAACTCAAAGTGACATGATATCCTGTTATATATAACAAAAGCTCATACATATGGTTTTACGACTAGAGATAATTAGGTAAAACTTCATTTTTAGATTCCATTTTTCTTTATCTCACTTGTATAATTTTATATATATCTATTCATATGAACTTAAAAATAAAACACCAAATCACATACAATATATTATGATTAATGAAATATTCCGACCTTTCATTAACCAACGGAATTCATTCAGCTGAAAGCACAAAAAAATATCTTCATGCCTAACAAATTGTTTGAGATACCATATTGGACCCAAAAGCTAGTATATATTAAGTTATTTAACACACACACACACACATATATATATATATATATTCTACTTATTTTCATTACATTCTTTTGATCTAGAACAACCACACCTCATATGTAAATCATATACTATCACCAAGTTGTGGTGTTAGACTTTCGGTTGATGATCAAGAATACTCTTCCAGATTCCAAATCAGTTTCCTGATCATATAAACAAATGCTGGCGGTTAATTATACCTTATCCATAAAAAGCTCACGAGCTCTTTTTTGA